GAGAATCAGTTAATAAAATATAAAAGCTATTTCTTGCCAAAGATTCCCAGGAATCGCCCCCAAACACTTCTACTTGTACCCTATTGGCCAGAATTTAGTCACAAGGCCAATTCTAACTGCAAGAAACTCTGGGAAATATATTTTTTGATAATGTAATATAGTCATGACATAATTTAGTTGACTATTTTCCTTTAGATTGTTTTGAATTTTCTTCCTAATTCAAACAGTGCTAAAACAAAACCCTTGCACATTCATAGATCTATATGTGCGCATTTTATTGGGAAGGATTTTTTTTTGGTACCGGGGATCAAACTTGGGTCCTTGCGCTTGCAAGGCAGGTGGTGGAACCACTGAGCTAAATCCTGGGTTCTTGAAAGTAGGATTGCTGGTTCAAAGCATATATGCATTTTATTTCAAAAGATGCTATAACCCTGGCATGGTGGTGCACACCTGTGATCCCAGCACTGGGGAGGCTGAGGCAGTAGAATTGCTGCTAGTTTGAGGCTGGGGTGGGCTACACAGTGAGTTAAAGTCAGCTTGATCTATATAGGGAGACTCTGTCTCCAAAAAACCAAACAAACCAGAAATAAAAACAAAGATGGCATAAAATTACTCTTCAAAAAGCCTTTAATAATTTATATTTCCAAGTGAGAGTATGAAAATATGTCTTGGAAATCAATCGTTGAGAGTAATATATCAAAAGCTTCAAACTACCCATGCTGTTTGTCATAATATTGTTTATAAAAATTTATCCTGGAAAATAATTCTAAATACTAAGTGAATTCTGTACATACGTGCATGCACGCGCACACACACACACACACACACACACATTGTAACTGTATATCTATTAGTGGAAAACTTATTGCCAAATGAATTTTTAAAATACAGCAGGTAAATTATTATGTAGCACTATATAATAATTAAAAAGATTTAACATGAGATGAGTTTGGTGGCTCATGCCTGTAATTCCAGGACTCAGGAGGCTGAGGTAGGAGGATCACTGTGAGTTCAAGGCCAGCCTGAACTAAGTAGCAAAACCCTATCTCAAAAACAAACAAACAAACCCTTAAAATGATTTATAACATGGAACATGTTTATGTTATAATTTATTTGAAAATGGCAAGATTTAATTAAATAAAAATTGAAAACAGTTGTGTTTTGGATATATACCTATTGATAATACATTCCTGTTATTTTTTAAAAAATACATTCTTTTACTTACCTTACCAAGACAGGAGTTAGGGTTCTATTAGGCAGGCAGTAAGGTCAGTGGCCCAGAATGGAGACAGGAAGGTTGAAATAGAGTCTGCTCAATCATCACCCTCCATGGATCCTACAAAAACACCTTCCAAGGGTCTTGCAGCTGTCAGGGACCTCCCCAGAGCATGATCAGGCAGGCAAATGGCTCAAGGGCACGTGGTCCCTGCATGAGCGCTATATGAACACTGCATAGATTGGACCCTGACAAATGTGTAGACACTCTACTTCCTCTGTCCACGGTTTCATTCTTCATTACTGTGGGACATGACCCCAGTGTTCCAGATTCATTCCTGCCTTAATACTTCCCAGGTTTTCATCAATGAAGATGCCTGTGATAGTTAACTGTGATGTCAACTTGCCTAAAAAATGCCTAGCTGGTTAGTTTAGCAATTGTGGGTGTGTCTGGATGATAGACCTACTGAAGAGGGAAGACCCACCCTGGGTGTGAGTAGCACCAACCAATAGGCTTGTAGCCTGGATAGAATAAAAAGGGAAAGAAGAAAGAAGTCTCTATTCTGCTTCTTTGGAGGTGCTCCAGTCTTTGACATTGCCTTTGGATGTCCATCTCCAGGCTTCCAGCTCAGACTCTTCAGACTTCCAGTGCAAACCTTTCAGCTTCCTAGGACTTGCACAGGACTCTGCAATGTGCTTCAGTCCTTCCACCTTTGGTTGCACTGTCCAGCTTAATGCATGTAGATGGTCCTTTTGCAATCTTCCATCCCCAACCCTGCAGGCAGTCACTGTAAGCCTACCTTGTAAATTCTATGCCTATGCTTATGTCTATGCCTATGTCTATGTCTATGACTATATCTATATCTATGACTATATCTATATCTATGTCTATCTATCTGTTTCTCTAATGATCCCTAACTGGTACAGTGACTTAATCTATTAGAGCTGTTATAACAAAATATAGCTTAAACAACAGAATTTTTCACAGCTCTGGTGGTTGGGAAGTCCAAGATCAAGGCAGATTCAGTGTCCAATATCAGTCATTTGGCCATAAGCTAAAGCTGACTGTGAAAAAGAAGGATCAGAGAGACAAAAAAGAAAGTGAAAAATAAACAAACAATAAAACCCAATGCATTTCACATCAATATTGAGCAGGCACTTACTCAAAGCACCCCTAAAGCCTGCTCTGGGTCTCTGTGGTCTTCCAGTTATAAGCCTTTTATTGAGTAAGGGAGTTTGGGCTGAGTCTTCAGCTGCTTGCTATATGAAGAACCCTATGTGATGTAAGGGCATAGAAGTAGAGACCAACTTTATATATTTTTTCCAAATAGTCTGTTGTTCCATTACAATTTTTGAGTGATCCAGTCTTTCTTCTGTGATGTAAAATGCCACTTTATCACAACCATTTTCTTATAAAATGGCTTCATTTTGGGGTCATTATTCATTGATATATTTATTTATATATTTAAAAATTATACCATGCTATTTTAATTTCTATAGTTTCAGCACATGCTGCCAGAACAAGTCCCTCCTCATTATTTCTTCTGTGTTTTTTCCCCCAAATTAACTGGCTTTTATAATGCATTTTCCCCTACATTTTAACTTGAGAATTAAGTTGTTAAATTCTATAAAAAGTCCTTCTGGAGCTGGAGCTTTAGCTCAGTGGTGCTGCCACCTGCCTTGCAAGTACAAGGTCCTGAGTTTGATCCCCAGTACCCCCACCAAAAGTCCTTCTGACATTTAAAAATTGAAATTGCACTAAATATATATATATGTATATATATATATGCTTATGAAGAATTTTAAACATTGAGTCTTTTCACTTAGGAATGTGGTATATCTTTTGATTATCTTTTTCGTTCTCCTGCTGTACTCCTCATTGCACTGTGTTCTAGCAGTGCTAACTGCTGCTACCATTACCTATATATCTAGAGTATTCTTATTTTCCTAGCCTTGAAGTATTCATGTCTTCTTTCTCCTTAGTTTAGACAAGACAGATTAGAAATTAATAATAGATGCGAGATACTAATAAAAAGATATTGAAAAACCACAACTAGAAAAGAAATTATAAAAGCATAGAAAAATTAGTTTATAGAATTTATATCCCTTATATTAATGTAACTAAAGCCCAGCCAATGAAGGGCTTCAAGTTTCTTTTCCTTGTCTCTGTCTTAAGTTCAGTGTCTTAACCAATCATTGCTGGGTGTTACGGTTTATATCTAAGACATTCCCCAAAGCCTCATGCATTCTCAGGTGGGACTTTTGGGAGTAACTAGATCATAAATATGTGATATTGGATAATGAGTGTGTAATAACTAATCTACTGATTGGATTAGCACAGTTCTGGGTGTGGGTGATGGATTTATTGAAGACAGAAGACCCACTCTGGATGTGAGTTGCACCAAGCAATAAGCTTGTTGCCTGTGTGGAATAAAAAGGGAAAGGGAGGTTCACCACGACTTTTTTTTTTGTCTGCCCTGCTATGAGCTCCTTCTCCTCTGCCATGCCCTTCTGCCATGTTGCCCTGCCTTGGAGCTACCTGACTATGGACTGAAAATTCTACAAACTATGGGACAAAATAAACTTTCCCTCCTTTAACTTTGGATGTTGGATATTTTGTCCCAGCAACAAGAAAGTAACTAAGACATTGGGTTTAGAGAGAGTCTCAGCTTGTTCTGGAACTTAAATTTGTATATAACAGAAACTTTTTTTTCCTCCTTAAACAGGTATAAGAAGGTTAGATTTTTATAAAATGAAAGTTGTATTTGTTTTGTGGAGCTCCAGCCTGTATCAGTCTGGAACTTTCCTGAATGACAGAACTGATTGATCAATTATTATATACAGGATTGAATGATTTTAGTCTTATGAATATATATTCTTTATTTTCAACCAGACTGAGTTCTTAGAGGATAAGGACCATATCTTCTATATTTTCCCACATAGGATTTAGTTATTATGTTTGAAGTATGATATAGGTATGTATAGGGATATCTGAAACCATTTCAAGAAGTCTACAAGGTCAAAAATATTTAAAAACTAATGCTACAATACTATTCTCCATTTTCGTTCTCATTCTCTCGTGAGTATATGATAGAATTTTCCAGATTCTACATGGTTTGAGATGATGTCATTGCCCCAGTGGCTAATGGAATATGTACCTGTGTACTCTTATGCTTACAAATTTCTTAGTATTAAAGAAGCAAAAGTTCTTTAATTTTCTCCATAATTTTAAAGAGTGTGAAGTTGGTCCTGAGACTAAAAAGTTTCAGAACTGCGGGTGTGGATCATTATGTATTGAACTGAAAGTGAAATCAAACTGATAGTATCAATCATTTTTTTCCCCTGAGTTTAGAGTGGAGCCTGGGAGTTTTTGGTGTTTTCTCTGAATCAATCAAGGTCCAGTCAGATACAGAAACTACAAGTGACAGAGACCACACTGTTATTTGAACAGGAAAGATTTGATATAAAGAATTATAACTATAACAAGATTGGAATAACAGGGGATTGGCTGGTAAGAAGCAAAGGTAACTCTAAGAATATTAGTGCTATTGTCTGGATGTTTATATTGTCCCAAAATTCATGTATTGATATTTTAGCCCCTAGAGTGATGGCATTTGGGTATAGGGTTTTGGGGAGGTGATTAGGTCATGGAGACTATGCCCTCCTTAAAGGGATTAGTACCCTTATAAAAGAGGCCGCAAGAATCTGTTCACTTCTTCTATAATGTTAAAAAAACTGAAAAAATATAGTCATCTATGAATCAGGAAATAGGCATTCACCAGACATTTAATCTGCCAGTGACTTGATTTTGGACTTCCTAGGTTCCAGAACTTTGAGAAATAAATTTCTGTTGTTTATAAAGCACCAGGTTATGATATTTTGTTATGACATCTTGAATGGACTAAGACAATACCAATAGCAGATATTAGGAGCAGTTATGCCCCTCGTGGCTGAGATAGAGCACCCAACGAAGAATCCTGCTCCCCAAGGATTGAGATCCAGTCCTTGCTGGAAAGGGAATAGCTGTGCCTCGCTGTACAACACAGAACATTTGGTTTTGCTATCTTGGTGGCCTTGCTAGAAATCTGCCTCCTGAAACTTTCCAGAAAGTGTCCGTGTAGGTTGTTGGGGGGAAGTTGCCGCTCCTGGTTGTAGGAGCCTGTTGGGAACACATAAATACACACACCCCAACAAGAAGGAAAATCTTTCTCTTGTGCAATGTCTCTTTTGTCCTCTATTGACAAAGTTTAACTATCTCATCAACTGGTAAAGGAAAATATTTAAAGATGAAAGCTCCATTTTAAGGAACAGGCAAAGAAGAGTGAATCTGCAAGTGAGAGAAAATGAAACAATACACTTTCTCTTAGTACATTTTGTATGAATTGAAAAGTTATTTATTCATTCAACAGGCACCTATTGAAGGACTATAATGTTCTAGGTACTTATGTGTAGCATAAGTTGTAATGTTCTAGGTATGTATGTATACCCTGATGCCTAATAACAATTTCCCTGTTCTTTCTTAATAACAGAATCCCAATTTTGTTCTTTCTATGCTTCTCCTTGCCATGGGCATCAGGGAAAGACAGTCCTGATCTCAGCTCCAACCCCAGCTCCACAGGGTAAATCATAATTGCTCTAAACAAGTTTTAATGATCCCCTTTCTTTGCCAGTAATGAGTCTGTGACATACTTCTGGCCAATAAGACATGATGGGAAGTTTGCAGAGGGGATTTTTGGTTAACTTTTCCTACCATCTTAAAAATGATGTTCAGAAAGAAGGAATTCTTTTCTGTTGCTGGATATTGTCATGTTTCCATGTGACGCCAAACATCGGTGTCCATCTTGGGCCTTTGAAAAGAGGAAGATAGTTTGGGAAGACGTGGCTGTGCACAACAAAGCAGTAAATAAATGTAAATGGAAGAGTTATCCAATTTCTAGGTTTTTTTTTTTGGTACCGGGGATCGAACTCAGGTCCTTGCGCTTGCGCAGCAGGCAGCAAAACCACTGAGCTAAATCCCCGGCCCAATTTCTAGGTTTTTAAAAAAAAATTATTTTGAGTTGTTACATGTACTTAATTGATATGCTCTTGGCATGATCAATATGAATAAGATACTGTCTTGTTCTTAAGAGGTTCAAAATCTGATCAGAGAAATAAAGAAGAGAAATAAAGTTTTAAGATTGCTATGATGAAAGAGGATAATGTCTGAATTCAAATGGAACATGCTAGCAGAAAAGAGAAAAGTTGGAAAAGAGAAAGCAAATCAAGGGAAAATGGTAGGTAAAGTTGCCTCCCAAAAGGAAACATTTCCAAATTTCTCTGCAAATAAAAATATTACACAATGCAATATATTTGATCAGAGCATTCTTTCTGCCTAAACTCTTTTTGGTATAGTAAAAAATGTTTCACAGCTGTTAATTAATGTTATTTTTCAAAAAAGCATAAAAGAGAAATAAAAAGTTATAGTTTCAATGAATGGCAGCAACTAGTATAACAAGGTAAAAATTTTAAATCTCAATTCTTCTACTCCCCACTACCAAATTTGGTGGTTGCATTTCAGATACAAACTATGTGCTTTTTTGGGAAGGAACTAGGTTTCAAATTGGAGATTTTTCTTACATGTCTCTTAAAGCACTTGCTATGATTTGGAATAATGTCCCCTAAAGCTCCAAGTGTTAAAGGCTATAGCCCTATGGAGAGACAGTGGAACTTTAAGAAAGGTGGGGGCTAATAGGAGGTCTTAGCCATTGGGGGTGTGTACTTGAAAAGGATTGTGAGACCTTGGTCCCTTCCTCTATTCTTTCTTTCATTTGCTGGCCATGAGGTAAGCTTCCCCCCACCCCGCCCCACTATGTGCTCCTGAATGACGTGCAGCCCTAAGCCAATGGGCAAAAGAGTCAACTGGCCATGGACTGAAACCTCCAAAACTGTGAGCCAAAATAAACCTTTTCTCTTTGTAAGCTGATTGTCTCAGTATGTGTTATAGTAATGCAAAGATGACTAACATAGCACTCAATTGAGAATTCTAGTCAGCTGTTTGGTAGTATAATTAAAATGCATACTTTATCTTGATTCCAACTGGAACAGATAGAACAGAAATAGATTACCTTATTTCACAGTTAAGTGAAGCTGAGTGACTCTTAACTGTATCTTGAATTTATCTATGCTTCTATTTGCTCATGGATGCTTCTACTTCTTATTAGCAGGTTGAATGATGATTTCTATGCTTTTCTTCTTGGAATCTTTAGGCTGGCTTTCCACAGACAAATTAAAACAGAAGCTTAAGGCATTTTTTTCACCTGTATAACTCACAGAGAGAACAATTTTTATTCATTGCCAATTCATCAGGCATACTCCTGCTTCTAGGCCTAACACCATTCCCTTCACCTCATACTCTCTTCCTTTACCCATTTGCATGACTCTCTCCCCCTCTTCTGCAGTCACCTCTCATTGAGGCCTTCCCTGGGTGTCCTTTCTAAATTTCATCCTTTCCCCTTCACTTTATATTTTCTTTCTTTATTAAATTTTCTTTTGTACCAGTTTTCACTATCTAACATTACTGATCAGGGACTGTTATAGTTTAGATGTAAAATGTCCCCCCAAAGTCTTACGTTTTCAGAGATAGGGCTTTCAAAAGGTGACTGGATCATGAAGGTACTATATTCATCAGTGGATTGATCCACTGATGAGTTCATACCTGATTGTGATGAGATTTGGTTGAAGGAAGTGAGTCACTGGGGGTGTGACCTGGAAGGGTGTATCTTGTCCCTGGCCCCTTCTTCAGCAGCTGCCCTCTGCTACGCCCTTTCATTATGAAATTTCAGCCTTGGTGGGAGGTGACCATGGATTGAACCCTCTGAAACCATGAGCCATTATCAACCTCTCCTTTCAGTATATTTCAACAACAGGAAGTCTAATATAGGCACTGTTTTATTTTATGTTTTCTCAACCAAAATGAAGGCAGGAATTTCTGTCTATTTGTCTATTAAACCTAATGATGGCAGGGATTTCTATTTGTCTGTTTCACTGATGAAAATCCCTTGCAGCTAGAACAGTACCTGGCATACTTAGGTGCTTGGTAAATATTTGTTGACTAATTTGGAGTTAGGCCTGCCTTTGAGTCATAAAGACCTGGGTTGGAGTGTAGACTTTCTGTTTGACCTCAAGTAAACTTCCTTCACTCTTTTGAACTTCGGTTTCCTCATCTATAAAAGGGACATAACTACCTCACAATGTAGTTTTAAAGGTTCAATGAGACAACGTAGGCTAATTATATGATTCGATTGGAATCACACAATAATTGTGAGAACTCTTCTTGGATGTGATGATCTAGAAAGGAGCCTACATTAAACCAAAGGAATGCTGATATGGATCACCTCAGGTGACTTTAGCTGGGTCCCTGGAAATTGTAGTCTTCCTAAAAGTACAATTTTTTAGTTATGATTTCCTTGTCTCCTTTTTCACTCTCTTCTGTTTTTTTCTATTCTACTTCACCCTGCAGTGTTTTCTCTGTAATTAGATGTAATTATTGTGAAACGTAGTGAGGCACTTGTACACAATCAAAATCAAACAAGAATTTCCAGAAGTGTCCTTCCTCCAGGGGCTACAATTGTCACGTGGCTGGGGGCAAACATACCCAGTAATTATAAACAACTAGAGCAGGAAGCCTAGGCAGTTAGTTATACTTCAAATGGCTTCACAAGATGTATAGAAATGCATGTACAGAAATCCAGAGAAATCAGTCAAATTGGACTGCCGCAAACCCAGTGAGGGCAAGTGAGGGACAAAGACCAGGCCAGCGCCCTTCATCAGCCTGAGCTGCACTGGGTCTAAGGCTCCCCATTCTCATCCTCTCTGGTTTTTCTATACTCTGGCAGTCTTTGCTGTGCACCGCCCCTCCGCGCGTCCGCCCAGTCTCTGCCCGCCCTCTCAGGCCCGGCTCCTCCCCTCTAGCTCTGGCCCCGCCCACTCACCCAGGCCCGCTCCTCCCTCCCACTCCTGGCTCGGTCCTCTCAGACCTGGCCCCGCCCCCGTCGCGGGCGGATTCCCCCCCCCCCCCCCCCCCC